ATTGATTTAAGAATTTGCGAAAATGACTTGACTTAAAAGAAAATGATTTAATTCAAAGACTTAATACTTAAATCATTTGAACTTTATCTTAGAATTGACTTAAGATTTAAATCATTTTGATTTTAGAATTGACTTAAGATTTAAGTCTATTTAAAACTGACTTGTTGCAGCTCTGAATATTATAATATATAAGGGTAAAGTTGTCAAATAACATTGATATATTAATTGTTAGCAGTTGCAATATGCAGTAAGGTTGCCTATGATAAGAATGCATCTACTATAATATAGTAGAAATCTACTTATCATAGGCAACCATTATTGCATAATACATCTCGCTTATGTGGCACTATTCGTTAAGTATATAAGTTGACACTGGAGATTTAGGAATTCGAACCTCGGCAAATAAACAAGTCACAAATTGTGGCCCACGAAAATTTAGCTTTTTCACTGGAATTCTTTGTTGGAGCCAGGATTGTTCCGTCTAGATGCTAAGCAGAGGAGTCTGCTTAAACAGTGCCTGCTTTGCAAGGCCAAAGCCGCGAACCCATAATTTTACTCATTTTACGTCAAGAGGGAACTGATTTCAGCCAAGTGAGCTGTTTCAGTATTTACTTATTTTGCCCTATGATGAAAAATAAGGAGGGGGCTTCGTCATTCTGAGGTCATATTTATGACACATTTATTACGTAAATATTATGTAATGGTATGATGTCAGTGTTACATCAAGATGTTTACGTCATATTTATGTCATATTTATTACGTCAGAGTCTGACGTAAGAAAGTGTGAAATAATGACTCTTGTATGACTCAAGTGTGACCTATATCTTACGTAAGCGTGACTTGACATGACATCATATTTACGTCATATTTACGTAATTGTGTTTACTGGGATATAAACATTTTTTTAATATATAAGTAGACTACTAACACTAGGCACTTAACACTGAAATCGACTAATAAAATAAACCGCTAATAAATGGCGTCCAAAGACGTTTTTTCTTTATGATGGCGTCTCAACCTCGTTGATTTTGCGCAGCTACACGAGAGCCCTCTTGCGATATTTGTATTGTATTGGGAATAACCAATTAGCAGATTTTTCGAATCTTACACTGGGAATGCCCAATTGAATTCAATTGGAAATTACCTATAGGTAGCTTTATCCAATCGAAACCAATAAAAACCATTAGAATCCTAACTGGTATTTTCCATCATGGAAAATACCAGTAAAAACCAATTTCTGTTTTATATCGCGCCCAATTAAATCCAGTAAGTCCAATTCAGACCCATTGATACCAACCAATACTTCAATTGGTTTCTACAGGAATTAATCGGTCATTTACAACAGGGATAGCAGGTAAACTAAACTAAAGTATACACGAGAAAAAGGAAAAAAAAAAGCGCGAATGAAACCAGCTGGTCTAGACGTCGACGTTTGCGTACGAAACAGGACCGAAATGGACAAAGGAAATGTAGCAAACCGAACGCGGATGAAAGCAGAGGTTTGCAATTAAAAGCAGATGTTTGCGGATAAAAGCAGATATTTGCAGATAAATGCAGATGTTTGCGGATAAAAGCAGATGTTTGCGTATAAAAGCAATTGCCGTATCCACTAACGCTACACATTGCTTGCTCCCTATTTCCACTATTATTTCGGGCACTACTCGCACTTCACTGTCTCCAACCACCGTTTTTTTAATGGTTTGTACTTCCGGCTTGTCTAAATTTTGTCTTTTTACTGGGATAGTACAATGTACTAACGGTGTTTGCATTCCTTGTCGTCTTTTTCCTAAACCGGAACCAGGTTTCCAACCTTGTGCAGTCACGAGTTTCCACCCGGTACTATAAAGTTTGTTTAGGTTTTTAATCGGTTCTGACACTGCGATGGTCGCAATGTATTTTTGACCTCTAACTAACGGGATACGTCGACTTAGGTCCGGTTCGGCGCTCCCGATGCGTTTCCCGACTCTTTGTGGGGCGGTTTATTTTGTTGACCTAAATTTTTTTGTTGCGGCTGACCCTTTGACCAACGATACGGATTTGGCCGTGCGGTGTCAATGGTGCTTGTTTGCGGTCGGTTTGGTGCTTGGGCTTCCGGGCGGCGATCCCGAGATGTCTCACGACGACGCACCACAGCGCTCTTAAAATGGTCTCCTCGCTGTAGCCGACGGTCGTTGCTTTCGATCGGTTTATTTTGGCCCCTATTTGTTGGTTCATAGCGATTGTGGCTAATCTTGTAGTGCACTTCTCTTTGTTTCTTGGGATTACAATACGTGCGTAGTAAAGCGGATTTAAAGTCGTCATACGTTTTCCAAGAACCTTTGTATGAGACCGACCACTGTTTTGCCTCGCCTTTCATACGATCAAGCGCCAAATCCAACATCTGGTTCGGCTTCCGGTAGCTAGCCTTCCCATACGCCTTCAATTTCTTTAAAAAACGTACAGGGCTGCCTCGATCATCGCCCCAGAAAGTCGGTTTGTCTGGTAGCAGGTCAGTTTGAGTCATTACACCCCCCAACAGCTGTTTCAGGTCTACCTGCCCTTGGTCGTTAATGGCAGGTTGTTCGACTGAGGAACTGTCAGTTCTGTCGGTTGAAATCGTTGGCGAGGCAGGCGACTCGGCGTGCATGATAATCTCTTCGGACGGCGGTTGTACGACGCTTAGCGTCGCACCGGGGTTGACCTCACGTAGGCTGGTGACGGCGCTGAGGATGGCATCGTGGTTGCTCTGTTGTATTCGCATCAGCTGTTGTTGCATCCCATGTTCCCAGATGCGGAACCACGCTGGGATAACCATATTGTCTGCGGACATGACTTGGATACCTGTAAATTTTTTAAGCGCTCAGACCGTTGCAAGGAATATCATTATGGATCGGCTAATTAATTTTTGTTTTCATGTCAGTCACTTTTCCTTTTAATAACTTTATTATCCTGGTCACTAGGCACCAATTTTTTTCATTTAAATGTTTGCGGATGAAAGCAGATGTTTGCGGATAAAAGCAGATGTTTGCGGATAAAAGCAGATGTTCGCGGATGATTGCAGATGTTCGCGGATGAAATCAGATGTTCGCGGATAAAATGAGATGTTGGCGGATAAAAGCAGATGTTTGCGGGGGTGCACTAACCGGATGAAACCAGGCGTTCGCAGATAAAAGCATGTTTGCGGGTGAAACTGTATGAAAGCAGATGTTTGCGGATAAAACCAGTCGTTTGCGGATGAAAGCAGATGTTCGCGGGTGATTGCAGATGTTCGCGGTTGATTGCAGATGTTCGCGGATAAAAGCAGTTGTTCGCGGGTGACTGCAGATGTTCGCGGGTGATTGCAGATGTTCGCGGATAAAAGCAGTTGTTCGCGAGTGACTGCAGATGTTCACGGATGAAATCAGATGTTCGGGGATGATTGCAGATGTTCGCGGATGATTGCAGATGTTCGCGGATAAAAGCAGACGTTTGCGGGTGAATGCGGGGGTGCACTAACCGGATGATTTCAGGCGTTCGCAGATAAAAGCATGTTTGCGGGTGAAACCGTATGAAAGCAGACGTTTGCGGGTAAAAGCAGATGTTCGCGGGTGATTGCAGATGTTCGAGGGTGATTGCAGATGTTCGCGGATGAAAGCAGATGGTCGCGGATAAAAGCAGATGTTGGCGGATAAAAGCATATGTTGGCGGGTGAAATTGGACTATAGTCCAATTTGCCTATAGGCAGACGTTTGCGGATAAAACCAGACGTTTGCAGATAAAACCAGACAAAAATAGACAAAAAAATGCAGGTAATCGCGGATAAAACCAGACGTAAGCAGACGTTTGCAGATGATTCCGGACAAATTCAGATATATACGAAAAACAGTGAAGACGGTTAAAAACAGATGATTGCAGATGATTGCGGGGGTGCACTAACCGGACATAAAACACAACTAACCGGGTGTTCGCGGATATAGCGATGCGGACAAAAGCAGATGTTATGAGATGATATTTTTACCCGCTTTTATCTGCTTTTATCCGGCTTCGACGATGAATTTATACCCGCAATCATCTCCTTTTATCCGGTTTTGACGAAGAATTTATATCCGCAATCATCCGTCATTTTCAGCAGGGTTATATAAAAATTTTGTAGAAAATCGATAACCGATGTTTATAAACATGGATGTTTAAGAAATTCTTCGAGCGCATGCGTCTATAGACGAAATAATTGAAAGGGAATAGGCTCATATGTTACGAAACATATGTAGTTCATGAACATGCATGTTTAGCGAAAGGGAATAGGCCTCTATGAGAAATATTCAGAGAAGAGAACGCGCCGTTGCTGCAATGTACCTGTAGTGGTAGCGATGTTGCCTGATTGTCAATGCCCAGTAAGCACAAGATAGCCGGCCCGCATACGGCCCGAATGCGTTTGGCCGGATCGGCCCGACACACGTATTTCTTCCGGCGTGTAGAACGGGCATGTCCTGGCCAACTGTCGGGCATATCTGCCTGGCCGAATGTACGACGTCGTCTATGTTTACTCGGCCGAGTGCCGGTATACCGGCCACAACCGCCAGGCCAATTAAAAAAGCCTACAGACTTTCTGGCTGGGGCAAGCCGAACCGCCGGTCAACCGCCTATGCCGAGCGAAGGCCGACTGTTTGGTGCTTACTGGGTGGTGTATTAATAATTCTCTTAATGTATGAGGGCCCCCATATAATCGGGGCCCCCGGACCGCACCGAACTGCATGTCCGCCCCTGGCAGGTGGATCGTTTGTTTGAATGTAAAGAAATGTTTTTAATTGTAAAAATATTTAAACTTGTCAAAAGGCGAGGATCGTTCGATAGAGCCGAAACACTGCGATCTCATTGGCAGCTTTAAAACTATAATAACTCCTGCAATTTTGCGAATTCGAAAAAATGGCATAGGAAAATTTCTCTGAGGGCGCGAATTTTAGGACACCCGGTATTGTATGGTAAAATTGCATTTCCTTATTACATTTTCAACAAAGTAAGAGGTTTAAGTAAAAAACAATTGTAATGTTAAACTTATAATAATTAAAACATGATATAAAATAACTTTCAGACGTAATACTTTAACATAACTCTGCCAACAAATAAAAATAAACAGTCTTTTGCGATAAATCGCTAGTGTGATTAAAAAATAGTTACGTTACTCTCTAAAAGAAAGTTTTGACTAAATCCTTTTTATTAATTTTTCCCATTGCATTTTTTGGTATTTCTTCGACAATTTTTACCACCGTGGGTACCGAATATTTCGGCAGTTTGTTCAAAGCCCATTCCGTAAAATTTTCCACAGTAACCTCTTCTCCTTTTCGTGGAACCACCAGTGCTGCCACCCTCTCGCCCCACGTTTCGTCACTAATACCAACCACGGCAATATCTTTGACTTTTGGGTTTGTCAGTAATTCAGTTTCTATTTGTAACGCGCTTAATTTATAACCCCCGGATTTTATGATGTCCACGCTTTTACGTCCTAGGATTTTAAATTTATTTTTCTTCGAATTGTACTGGCAAATATCGCCTGTTTTAAACCAACCGTCCTGTGTGAATTCAGCCTTAGTTGCATCTGGACGTTTGAAGTATTCCGTGAAGACTCCGTCGCTTTTTACAAAAAGTTCACCTAAAAAAATACAATATTTAATCTTCTACAACATATAAAAAGGGTATCCTTTACCCTGAGGATTTTCTTCTGTCCCTTTAATTTTCTTCACCTTGACCTCTCCGTTGTTGTTGGTGCATTCAACTAGGTCTCCCTCGTCTGAAGCGATCTTAATGGACACGCCTGGTAAAGGTACGCCTACATAACCAGGCTCGCGGTCGGAATCGTAAAGATTTGACAAACACATGCCTATTTCTGTCATACCGTAACGTTCTAAGAGACTGTGGCCTGAAATTTCGGCCCATTTTTGGTATACAGGGGCTGGTAGTGGGGCACTGCCGCTCACCATCAATCTAAAATAAAAAATTATTTTGGACATTACTTTATCAGCTCAACCCATGTTGCAGATTTTTGATTTTTCATAAGCCTAAATTTAGTGTTGAGATAGCTTTTTTATGATTTTTCTATATTTTCTATGGATTTCAACAGTTTTTTAAGAAAATATTAATTTCTCAATATTATCTAATCATAAAGGCCCCACAAACATCCGTTTTTATCGCCCCGATTTCAAAAGTCGTGTCAAAAACGCCAAAAAAATGGAAATATTAATATGAAAATTGCTTTATTAAGGTTTTTGGGGTCGCTGATCACGAGTTTGGTATCAAAATTATTAAATCCAAAATACCAAACCCAAAATGGAAGAATTTTAAAAATACCTTGAAATTTCATCTAAAGCCTTTAGACTAAAGGATCATTATTGGTGTTTACAGGTTGCTTATTGCGAATTTAATATTAATATTACCGAATTAATTAAGTAGGTAATTTGTTCGCTTATCCATAAGGTCCATTTCAAGCATGCGGAACGCACGAATCACAAAACTGTAGGTATTTAGGCTATACATTAAATATAAGAATATTTTTATAAAAGTAGAGGTAATTTTAATGGAACTTTAGCCTAATAAAAGAAATATATTTTTGATCAAGCACTATCGTTAATAATCAACACAAAATTTAGTTTAATGCTAACAGCAACATACCAATATTTCCTTATTTTTTAGTTACTTGCCAAAATGTTGTCTAAAAGAGGTTTTAAATTCTCTTCCTTATTTATTTGTCGTAAATATTTTGTACAAATGTAGACTTACATAATATGTTTAAAAAGAAGTTTTTAAAAATCATAAGGTGCTATCATTTTGATTTTTACTTTTTAATTGTAGAATAATGTGATAAAAACCACTTGAAAAAATATAAGTGCATCTAAAAAATCTTTTTTTTGAGTTAACATTAATTGAGTGAAGAATTTTGTTTTATTTAAGTGTTCCTGTAATTTTTGGGTGCACTTTTACTCCTCATTGTCATTTTCCTACTACTGTTTATTATTAGTTCTCAATTTTGCAAACCACTATTTTATATGTGTAAATCATACTGTATAGAGTTTTGTCACCACTTTTTTTAAAATACCAAAATAATTATAAAGGGCGAACCTGTTTTTCTAGTTTTGTCTTTTATTTTTTAGGGTTTGTGTTTAGAAATATCGATGACTTTCTGCCAAAGTATCGCAAGCAACATAACTCAAAATTCGGTAATTGAAATTTTGTATTTTAAACCATATATAACCTATAGGTTTTATATCAAGTAAGGATAATTCCATTTATTAGCCACCAATGAGTGCACCTCATATACTCTAATTTTATTTCTTTTTTAACTGTAAATAGACATGGACCCAAGAAGTGAAAAAAACTCCCCTTTTCTTTTCTCCCCCTATCACCTATTTATACAGGGCTACGCAAAAGTTACTATGCAGACCTAACTTAATTTTTTTTTACTTTTTTTGCTAATAAAACTATCGACATTAAACAAACTGTTAATTGTTAAGAAAATATTTCTCTTTTAAACCATATAGGACACATTTAGTTATTGATGCCCTAAATGGTCTTTGGGAATTTTTTTAAAAATGCAATTTTTTGGCAAAATTGTCTAATTTTATAAATTCATATGTTCTTAGAACAACTTGCCAGCAAAATTTTTTTAATGTAGTTTGTTACCATAGATCTTACTCTATATAAAAGCAATGAAAACATTTTTAAATAATATTGGCTAAGAGTTCAAAAAAATATAATAAAAATCCATGTTTTCGAAAAATCACTATTTTCAGCCATTTCATGGTTTAAAAAGGCTATGTTTGAGTGAGTCGATTTAAACCAATTTATGCTTATCATCACATGCACTTATTGGCCTCCAATAACCATTAATAAAATTATTGTGTATTTTGCTTTTAACTGGGCTGTGGCTGTATGTACAGCCCAGCTATAAGCAAAATACACAATATGCCCACCTGACTTTCAGCCATTTCATGGTTTAAAAAGGCTATGTTTGAGTGAGTCGATTTAAACCAATTTATGCTTATCATCACAGGCACTTATTGGTCTCCAATAATCATGAATAAAATTATTATGTATTTTTCTTTTAGCTGAGCTGTGGATGTATATGTCCACCTGTGACTATATCCATATTATTAACCATATATTATTAACCATATATTTCGAAAAAGTGTATTACATCTTTAAAATAACTTGACAGCCTTGAATTGACTTCTAATTCATTCTAAATAAAAATATAAAATATAAAAACCACATACAGTGGCGACGAAAATTAACTACCCATTTATTTATTTTTTAAATTAAGAAAACATAATCAAATGTACAAAAAATTAATTAAATGACTAAAAGACATACTTTTCATAAACTTTATATTTAAACAAAATAAAACAGGTATTAAATCCTAAATTTTAATTAAACCTAACTGCATATAATTAAACTGAATAAATCATATTCTTAACTTTTACAATCACCTAAAAAACCTATTTACTATTTTTTACCTCTAAAAAGTTATAAGAATCCGAAAATTTTCTTATGTGTATAATGTCTATCAAGAGGAATAAGTTAACGACTTATGGCCTTTAAATGGATCGCAGCAGACTTCACCAAAAATGTTGGTAAAATTATATAGATACTTTAATTTGTGATACCTACGTACAAATATCGGTTACAGTTGCATCCACTCGCCATTCTCTTCTTTTTAATAAAAATAAAGTTCTACTTTACTGCTGATTTCTTTTACTTTACTGCCGATTGTTGACTACTTTCGGCAGATTTCGGATAAAAATATTTTTTGCGATTTTCCAAGATTGAATCTTGTACTAAGGAGAAAAAGAAATAATAGAATGGCGAGTGGATGCAACTGTAACCGATATTTGTACGTAGGTATCACAAATTAAAGTATCTATATAATTTTACCAACATTTTTGGTGAAGTCTGCTGAGATCCATTTAAAGGCCATAAGTCGTTAATTTATTCCTCTTGATAGACATTATACACATAAGAAAATTTTCCGATTTATATAACTTTTTAGAGGTAAAAAATAGTAAATAGGTTTTTTAGGTGATTGTAAAAGTTAAGAATATGATTTCTTCAGTTTAATTATATGCAGTTAGGTTTAATTCAAATTTAGGATTTAATACCTGTTTTATTTTGTTTAAATATAAAGTTTATGAAAAGTATGTCTTTTAGTCATTTAATTAATTTTTTGTACATTTGATTATGTTTTCTTAATTTAAAAAATAAATAAATGGGTACCTAATTTTCGACGCCACTGTATGTGGTTTTTATATTTTATATTTTTATTTAGAATGAATTAGAAGTCAATTCAAGGCTGTCAAGTTATTTTAAAGATGTAATACGCTTTTTTGAAATATATGGTTAATAATATGGATATAGTCACAGGTGGACATATACATCCACAGCCCAGCTAAAAGAAAAATACATAATAATTTTATTCATGATTATTGGAGACCAATAAGTGCCTGTGATAATAAGCATAAATTGGTTTAAATCGACTCACTCAAACATAGCCTTTTTAAACCATGAAATGGCTGAAAGTCAGGTGGGTATATTGTGTATTTTGCTTATAGCTGGGCTGTACATACAGCCACAGCCCAGTTAAAAGCAAAATACACAATAATTTTATTAATGGTTATTGGAGGCTAATAAGTGCATGTGATGATAAGCATAAATTGGTTTAAATCGACTCACTCAAACATAGCCTTTTTAAACCATGAAATGGCTGAAAATAGTGATTTTTCGAAAACATGGATTTTTATTATATTTTTTTGAACTCTTAGCCAATATTATTTGAAAATGTTTTCATTGCTTTTATATAGAGTAAGATCTATGGTAACAAACTACATTAAAAAAATTTTGCTGGCAAGTTGTTTTAAGAATATATGAATTTATAAAATTAGACAATTTTGCCAAAAAATTGCATTTTAAAAAAAATCCCAAAGACCATTTAGGGCATCAATAACTACATGTGTCCTACATGCTTTAAAAGAGAAATATTTTCTTAACAATTAACAGTTTGTTTAATGTCGATAGCTTTATTAGCAAAAAAAGTACAATTTTTTTAAGTTAGGTCTGCATAGTAACTTTTGCGTAGCCCTGTATAAATAGGTGATAGGGGGAGAAAAGAAAAGGGAAGTTTTTTTCACTTCTTGGGTCTATGTCTATGTACAGTTAAAAAAGAAATAAAATTAGAGTATATGAGGTGCACTCATTGGTGGCTAATAAATGGAATTACCCGTAAATAGCTATAATTATAAGCTATTTACTTGTTATAACCAAAGATAATACAATATATATCTTTGGTTATAACACCTTTAGACTATATTTAATTTAAAAAAGACTTTAAAACAAAAAATGTTTTCAATTCCCGAAATTTGAGTTATGTTGCTTGCGATACTTTGGCAGAAAGTCATCGATATGGTGATTTTACATAGGACAATTTTAAGATATATATTTGTATATAAGATCTAACTTTAGATTTTGTGTTGTGAAAAATTGATTACCAAATATTGGTAAAATGAACAAAAAGCACCTAAATATGACATTTTACAATAAATGTAAATTATTTGATTAGAATAAATATACCTCTTTTGGAAAGTCTAGAATGGCGAATGCGTCGGGTTTAAAATTAATAAAAATCATGGTTAAAAGCATTAAAAATAGCCGAAGGCTTAATACTTTTTAAGATGTTACTTTATCGTTTTTATATTGTCCTACAATAATTACAGGTCACTTTATACTATAACATATGAATAATTTGCGCTAAAATCGAGTTCTATACCACAGTTCCGAATCGTGGCGGTACACTAAACAAGAACTTTGGGGGTCGTAATTATGTATTTTTAAAAAATAATTATTGAAAAATTATGAGTTATACTTTTTTTGGAGCCCTAAGAGTAAAAGTTTAGCATGCACCAGGCAACAAAAGTTGCGCGCGCACAGTTAACATAAATTCGACACCCGAGCCGTCTAAAAATCAATAGGGGTGAACGTAAAGGGGATCATATTCGCTTGTATTTTCGTGGTGTAAGAAATGAGTGGCTGGACATAAGTAAGAGGAAGATGAAAATAAATGGCGGCCGCCTTATTAAGAAAAAAATACGAATTAGGAATTACGAGGAAATAGGCAATCTATCAAAGATGGATTGCCAATTTCTTTATTACTTCCTTGACTTAGGTATCAAATGGAAGGGTTTGGCGAGTAAAAAAAGATAAGGTGAGCAAATATTTTTTAATTATTAAAATTTCATAAATTTCTAAAATCATCAAAATTATGTTGTTTTTAGTTGGTAATTAGGATTAAATTATTTTATTTATTTATTAGTGCGTGTACATGTTAAGTCCACAGTTATTATGTAAAATTACCACTTTTTGTTTTTTTGCTATCAAATTTATTTTTGTCATTTTTAATATTTCCATACTAAACTCTATTCAGTTTATTAAATTCGTATTTACTTTTTTGTTTATTTCACATTTTATCTTATATTTTTGTAGCTTACTCTTTTTTTAATAAAAACATTTTTTTAGCAACAATTTCAACACGTACATACCTGATCTTATTTTTCAACGTATGCTTAATATATTCCGCCATCTTGTTATCTTTCTTGAAAACCCTCTCATACTCATCAATAAGCTTGGAATAAATCGTCGGGACAGCCATGTAAACGGAAATCCTCCTTTCCTCTTTATTTCCTTGAGTTACACCCAGCAGATGAGACCAAACCAAGTTGGCGTTGAAACGCTCCAACATTAAGGTTTTGGCGCCGATGTATAGAGGACAGAGCAGTGCATTGACTATGCCGTGAACGTGGTGTAGTGGTAAAGTGTGCAGTAAAACGTCGTTTTGTGACCATTTCCAGGCGTCCAGTAATGTGGACACTTGGAAGTTTAGATTTTTGTGTGATAATACTACGCCTGAAAGAATGCCATGATTTTATTTTCCTGTTCACTTAAAAATAATTACAAACTAAGCACAATGCAATAACTGGTAAAAGCATTGTATAATAATGGGATAGTTTTTAATATATACTTTTCATGGTTAAATAAAATTATTGTAAATCAAAGTGAAAAAATTATTTCAATTTCCATCACTTTTCTTATTGCTTCATGCAATGTTCTCTTTTAGAGCTGCCAAGGTTTGTGGCTTATTCACATGAAGGCAAAGGTCCAACTAAACATTATTCACAAAACAACGGTTTTTACTTTTGAAGAAAGTGAAGAAATGTGCATCAACTCCGGCGGCGGCCACTTGGCCGATATTATTTTCTCTACTACAGAAAAAAAGTTAAAGCCTTAGGAAATCGGGTGATGAGTCATCACTGATGACTTATGACTTAACTTGTATTTGTGACTTCAATAAAAGAGCTTTAAATTTAAATATTTTGAATACAAAAAATAAATAAACTATAAAAATTATAATATTATCTCGGGAACGGTAAATGTAATTGAAATTCTGAAGTTTTAAATGGCATAATAAATACATTATCACCATAAAAAGTATAACTAAACTACCTCATATTGCAATGGTATTATAAAAGGTACAAAAGTCTAATCAAAGGTTTCAATACAGGGTGTTTCCTAGCAAAAAAAATCTATACAAAATATGGTTGAAGCACCCTGTATAAAAATGGATAGATGTAAAATTAAATTTAAGGGGAGTTTACCTGGAGTGCCAGGGTTATCTAAAAAAGAAACAAATGACATTTAAACACAGATAAAATAAACAACATTCATGATAGAAAAGGATATTTTTTTACATCCTTGTTATAAAATATACCATAATAGGTACCCTAAAAATGTTATGGGGCACATTTCACGCCTACAACAAGAAAGAATTTTCGATGTTATTTATATTTGGTCCAATAAATGAATCGGGTATGTATCTATAGGACTCCGAGCTTTTGAAGTTCTGGCTCAATTTTATTTCATACAAAAAGTCTTGCACCATTTTTAATAAAAAAAAAATTGCATTGATGGAAAAGCGTAAAATAATATTGTATGCTCAAATAAATAAATGATTTGACATTTTAAAAATATAAAATAATTTACATATACATATGTAAGTACATACCTATATCATTTATTTACATAGTGGTCCAAAAGAAACCTTTCAAAATGTGATAAAAAACGTTAAAATAATATTAATTTTCTGTATAAACTTATATCGAAATTTAAAAAAAATGTATTTTTTCTAAACAAAAGAACATATTTTATTAAAATTTGGTGAGTATTATTGTTTTTTGATTAGGTACCAGTTAGGCATTAAACTCGTTTTCATACTACAAGCAGTGGAGTCACTACAGAGGTGATGATATCCCTATTCAGAGAAAAAAGGTACGCCTATGATCTAAAAAAAGAACTTTTTTAAAACAATAACAATTATTATTAATTAAAATGCAATTGCAATTTTACTGTAAAACGATATATTTTACGAAAAAAGTGCAAGAGGACTTTTTTTTCTTAAACCGCCTGCTTATTTTATTTAATAGGTGTACCTTTTTTCTCTAAAAAGATATTATTACCCCTGTAGTGACGCCAGTGCTGCTTGTGTTATGAAAACGAGTTTAATTAATAACTATGGTACTTAATTGCTATAATACTCACAAAACTTCAATATTTTCTTTAGTTTGGGATTTTTTTTTAAATTTATAAAGAAAATTAATATTAGGTATTTTAAGGTTTTATTGATTCTCAAATTATTAAAAGTTCCTTTTAGACCACTCTGTATATTTGTTACATGTTTATTGCTTCAAAAAATGTGTGAAACGATTCTGTGATCAATTTTATGTGATCGGCCATTTCAGGCGCGCGAAACGGACAAATTACAAAAGGTGTGGACGGGATAAAAAAATCTTTTTTTATTAAGTTTATAAAATGGCTATACCTATAGGTATAGCCATTTTATAAAGAATGATAATGTAAAAAAAATGTGATTTAAAATAACAAAGTTGATATCGCTTCTGTTAAAACCGGAAGAGTAATTTTGTTCAAAATAATTTAGAAAAATAGTTTAAATGATATTTTAGTTGCTATAAAAATTTCAATTCGATATCTTTTACCGTTCTCCATAAAGTTCTCCATAAACGTCTAACCTACCATCGAACGTGATACACCCTGTGTAAATACATACGTATAATATATATTTAATGGCCTTACAAAATCATTTTTAAATCACAAGTACTTGATAGTATAGTATAGCAGAGTTATTGATAATAAAGTACGCATCGCAATGGGACGGGTCGCGTCGGGAGCGTGCTCGAGCGCCAGGGCCAGAAAAGTCGCGCCGGCTCACAAAATCAAATGTCATTAATCGTTTAATTAAGAATCCAATTTTTTTTTTTTAGTTTTTCATTGGAAAGACTTTAAGGAAAATATAAATTAACACGATTTTCAAAAAGAGCATTGAGAAAATTATACAAATTGTTTATTATAAATAATTTTTTTTATGAAAATAACTTTTTTTTTAATTTAAATATATTTTTTATGAAAATTTAATAAGTTTTAAAGAATTTTCAATAAAGGTAAAATTTTATTAAAAGGCTTTATTTCCATGAGAGATTTTCGAAAAAAAATCGTCAAAAACGCTCTTTTTTAAATAACTTTTATAATTGTTTATATATATTTTTTTTAATTTGGGAATATTTTACTATCAATGAGTACTACAAAAACCAATAATTGTTTTTTGAATTTTCCAAAGTCGGGAAAACAGTGATCCGTTTCACGAATTCTCACCCACATGTGAATTTGTAATCAAAAATTAATTTGGATATATCAAATTTTGATCAAGTAGGTATTGGTTTGAGGTAAAAGATTAACTTAATTTATCTATATTTTTTGTTATTAACCTTATAGGCGCCTCAAACACTTTTTATCTTTTCAAAATGTTATTTAAGTTAATATCCACTTAAAGTAATAACAATTTAATTAAGAGTAGGTATTAATAAAAATAATTTAACTAATTAACGTAACAATGATTTAATAAAAAACTTTTAAAAATGTATCATTTAAACAATGTATCATTTGAACAACAAGTAACCGCACATGGATCAAAAACAATGCTGACGTAAATTTAGTCTATTTATAAAATGTTTTTTAAGACTAAGAACATTATTAATAAAAATAACTTGGTTTTTGCGTATTAAATTAAGTTCGTAGTAGTAAATATATTTATGTTTATAAACATTAAATCTCACATGATACGTAAAGATAGCGTTATGTTATGTGAGATTTTAAAAAATTTCGTAATTTTAGATTGTGGATTTTGTAGAGCGTTTAAGAGACAATTGTTTAATTAATGGTTGGAGAGTGTAAACTTATACTTGCATTAAAAAATGCATATAAAAACAATAATTATTATAAGATAAAAATGTAGAATAAAAAATTAATAAAAAAGGTTTTTTTATTTGACATTAACAATGACTATCTGCGCTTGTTATATAAAATTGCAATTAAATAAATGATATTAATAAACAAAAAAATCATCATAATTTTGCATTTTACATTGATAATTTATTTTTGACTATCTTAAAAAGATTTTTTTCTTACCTTTGGGGCTTCCAGTGGTCCCACTAGTATACAATATCATTGCATTGCGACTGTCATAGAACGACGATGGTAGATTTGTAGTCATGTCGCTTTCGGAATTGGCCAGATTTTGAGCGCAGTTGAGGCGCAGCTTGTCATCTAAAACGTGTAATTTGGTTTGCGAATTTCTAGCGACTTTTTGCATCAATTCTGCGTATTCCCCAGTAGTTATAAGCAAGGAGGAATTTGTATCACTTGCATAGTAAAGAAGGATATTTTTGGGGTGCAGGGGGCTCAACGGAACAGCTGAAATAGAAAAATATGTTTTGTAAAAGCAGTTTTATCAAGTTATATTCAGCTTATGTTAACATACTTAAGGCAGTATCTAGTATATCTAGTATCTAGTATATCTAGTGATTGGTTTATAACCCTGTTAACATTTCTTAAAACATATATTATCCTAATTTGAAATTCTTAGATAGTTAACTTCAGATACATTGACTTCTTAAGACAGTTATATTTAGCTTAAGTTCTAAAACAGTTATATATTGCTAAAGTTGACAGTTAACTTCAGATAAGTTGACATTCTTTTAAGTATCTAAAGTATTTTTATATTGCAATACTTATTTAATTTAATTGTAGTTGGGGTACTTGTAGGTTAAAGTAAAGGTTACTTAATTCTTTCCAACAGTAATAAAATAATTGTTTGCTTTATGATTGAATGCTAATAACTTATTAGTAATAAGCATTATTACATATTACAAATTCTATTTTCATCCTCAAAATAAATGTAAAATGTTCAAAGTTTTGTTATTGTTTGCAGACTTACTAAAAATAAAATCTTGATTGAACTTTATGGTTCAAACATATATATATATATATAGTGTATTTATAAATACACTAAAGCACACAAACAATATGACAATAAACTTTTTTTTAAAGTTTTTCAATAATAGGTATATAGTTTTAAATATTATGTGTTTTTGACAAATTTTAATTTAGGTTAATTTATGGAACATTTTTTAGCTTTTAATAAAATTTTATAGATAAATATATATGTATCTATATAGGTAGATGAAAATATTTTTTTTGTTTATTTTAGATGTTGGTTTTAATTTATGCTTTTGATTTGTGTTTTTATGATTTTTTGTTTTAAATTTTATTTTTTATAAATTTTTCAGAGATTTTTTATTTCTATGTAATCCCTCTGTAATGTTTTTTGAATAATAGGTATGTCAAAATATTTTTTTAATAAAAATAAAAATGCAATTCTAAAATTTTAAACCTATTAGATATATTATTAAGGTTTATTACTAATAAAATAAATTATTAGGTAAAACAAGAATTTTTCAGAAAAAAAAAACTGGAAGGATACTGATTTATTTTTTCAAGGAGACATTAATGAGAATATTGTCATTATCGATAAAAACAGGTATTGCCCACAATCTCACCTAAATTTTAAAAATATTTTTCTGGTAGAACGTGACGTCTAAGGGTATTTCTTAATTGCAAAAAAAGCGTGACGTATTATTTCAAATTTATTTATTAACCCCTAGGATAATTTAAGTTTTATTCAGGGTTTAAAATATAATATTCAGGGTTTAAAAATTTGATATTTATTTTAACAAGATTGGGAAAAAAATAAATAGTAAGTAAAAATAATAGTTTTTATGATTATGATTATGCTCTAAGGCTTTTCATTAACAAGTTACAGTGTGCTTAAATAATTTTATAAGACTGGATCATAACATACTTGATTATGTTGATATTACCTTCATCCACCAGTGTGGGATGTGAAAAAATGGTATTTGCACAAGGTTTAATTAAGAGTCTTAATTAGTACAAAACGGAGATACAAAGTAAACGCAAGGCAAAATTTAAAAAAATAAACAAAAAATATTTCTTCCAGTATCATTATCTTTATTAAGAGATTGAAAGTTATTAAACAAAAACCTGTAGACTACAGGTTGTGCTTTACAGTGGAAAATCTAATAAGAAAAAAACTATTATATTTTACTAAGAAATCCAGAATTTAATTTTTCCATAACCTTTATGTTACACCATATACTTACATATGACTAAATTTATATTTAGAAATTTAATTTACCTACATGATTTATTTTAAAAACTACGTTTAATTCGGTTTAAATTTACTTAATAATTGAAATTTGAATAAAAAAGCTAAATAAAATTCTTAGTTTCTTCTAAATATAATTTAACACATCATTATTGTTGGAAAAAGAGGAAATTCCTCAAGCGTGGATTTTGCCGCAAGGGCGTAGCAAGTGCGGTAACACGCAAGTGGAATCTCCTCTTTTGACCAATAGTCACACAAAATATTTTATTGAAACACCACAAGTAACTTAATTTAATATTCTATTAAATTTTACTTTGCCCACTAGTAGGCAAAATAGCATTTAATTGGAAAAAGGAGAGGTAAAGGTGGCTTGACAGCTATCAGATTTCAAATAGAATCTATTTGAAATCTGATAGCTGTCAAGCCACCTTTACCTCTCCTTTTTCCAATTAAATGCTATTTTGCCTACTAGTGGGCAAAGTAAAATTTCGCCCATTGGTTAAAGTTAAATGAAATTGAAAATTGTGCATGAGACTGTAGGTATATTTTTAATTGAAAGTTTGGCAAAACTATTCAAAAAAATACACCATTAGCGCCCAAATCCCACAATAGCTACTTATCTTGCATTAAAAATTCACAACAGCTGAAGGCTGTTATCAAAATAGAAAGCATTACTTAAAATGAAGGTCACACATCATTGCTAATACACCAAATAAAATGTCAAGTTTAAGAACAATTTGCTCAAATTATAAAACCTTACCAATTTGTCCAGACATCCATATGGCCCACAAAGTGATAACATAATTAGCATCGTTGGGGCACAAGAACATGATCCTCTCATTAGTTTTGCCATTGACCAACTTTGTAATTTCTTTGGAAAGTTCATTAGCACTAAAGAATATATTAGCGTACGTGTAACTAGCGATTTTGTCGCGTATCGCGATTCTTTCGGCATAATTACCAGCGTTCGTAAAAACCGGCCCCGAAATCGCAGTCGGCGCTGGATTTACCTGCAGATTAGGTTTTGTTTGCTGGAAACGTCTTTGCACATTGTTTCGAAGTTTCAGGGAATTCCTGAGTGATCTGGTTATAAGAGACATGTTATATCACTTGAAATTGTTCACTTATCTGCTGCTTATCATAACGAATATCACTTTTTAATTCAAACGAATGTGGTTTTTAATGAACCACACCTCACCGCCCTTGATTTTACACACTGAATTTCGCGTAAATTTACGCCAACATTAATCTAAAATAGCCTCGCTGAGCAAGGTAATAAGTGAAAAAATCGCGAGTGCAATGCATTGCTGAAAAACTTCACCGCTGAGTGCTGCCAACTGCGTAAAACAAAATTGATCAAATGACAGATTAATCACACTTGATAAAATTATCGCTGCATTGCGCAAACTTGTATATTTTTTGTTCTATGAACTTGCTCTTTGACTTCTTCCAATGGTGTTCGTTTTTTATGGTGTCGCATCTTGCTGATAACCCAAATGGACGCACAAAAGTTGCAATTTTTTTAGGTTATTTTTCGTGTTTTTCATCGATTGTTCCAGCGCGGCGAAATTCCTAGCTGAATGCATTAAAATCTACAACAAACATCTATTAGTATAATGCTAACCTATATAAACATTGACCAACTTCACTAGATCCTCGTGTTAATTGTCTTGCAAACGAAGAAATGTTCACATTTACTTGAACTCGGTCCGCTAACCTCATTTTCAAATCAGCAAACAATATTTTTGCACTTGTACTACTTGCAGAAGCCAGATCAATTAATAATTAAAATTAACTTGTTTGTTTACTTTTGTTATCGAATTGTGACAGCTGCCGTCACTACTGAAGCTTTTTAGCGCGTTAAGTTGGCAAATTGACCATATGCAAGGAATGGGGTCGATGTTGCCAATGGTAAAAAAATATAATTCCCTATTGGGAACACCAACAAATATGGTCGTACACTTATCAACTTCAATAAAACTAAATAGTGTTTTTATTTAAAAATTAATTATTTTATAACAAAAATGGTGAAATTTGAATTTGATATTTTTAAATAGCATTTTTATTAAATATTTAAATATTTTTAGACAGAAATGGTGAAATATGAATTTAATATTTTAACGAAAAAGCCGTGTTTTTTTTAGATTTATTGACTTTTAGTCTTTTTAAGACTATTTATTTAGCCAGCTCATGATATTTATTTTTGTTTAATAAACAACTACAACACCCAAGGCTGTGACCAGGAATCGAACCCGGTACCGTTAGACGCAGATTGCTTACAGCTCTGTAGCCAACCCACTGCGCCATCCTCGGCTCCAGCCGTGTTTTTAATTGCAGAACAAACCAGTACGTCTACTCTGTGCTAGTACGAAATTAAATCGAGTGGCAACACTGCGGTGTTCTTTACTACTACCGCGCTACTAGCGCGCTACTATCAGAACTATAAATTGCTTGGAAAGTTTGGTTTATTATCTAGCTATGGTTTGGTGCCGTAACTGCTACTTTTTAGAACTATAAATCCAACTTAAGAAGATTATAATAAATCAACTTTGAATCAAAGTTTATTTATTATAATCTTCTTAAGCTGGATTTATAGTTCTAAAAAGTAGCAGTATCGGTACCAAACCATAGATAATAAACCAAACTTTACCAAGCAATTTATAGAGTAGCGGTAGTAGTAAGGAACACCGCAGTGTTGCCACTCGTTCATTTTATTTCGTACTGGCACAAAGTGGTTCTGTGGTACTAGGTGGCTCCGTCATTTCTAACTAGGTTATAAAACAAAACTAGTTTTTTTCTAGTTTTGTGATCGTGGCCTTTGATAGATAGAGTAGTATATGTTGCACACTTTTAATGCTTCCTTCCTTCCTCCCTTTCTCCCGTAAAAGTTAAACAATACGAAAACCATAGTACAGTTTATAGATTCCCGTACGGGATTGTATTGTTCATCTTCTACGGGAGGAAGGAAGGCAATCTATAAATCAGGCTTTAGGACTATAGATCTAGTACAAAAGTACTAACAGTGGTAACACTGAGCGGTAGTAGTAGTCTCAAAGAGCACGTGTTCTTTGAATAGTCTTCGCGCACTTTATTATTGACATTTGATAAAATAGTTGTTTATGCTTTCTATGGTTGTTTACCTTTTAAGTTTTTGTGTATTTCTTGTTTTTGTGTATATAGTTTTCCTGAAAAGCAATGGAGGAGAATTACGTTTTAAGCTTAACGGCTTTATGTGGGGTTTTGCTTTGTGCTGCGGCGGCTCTTCAATTGCAGGGGGGTGGTCGGGTGCGTCGTTTTAAAACACGACCTAAAAATCGAGAACGTGCCACAAAAGGCCATTTTAATCATTTTATGAAAATGAAAGCGAGGGATGCGGAGCAGTTCTTTAAACAGACCCGAATGACGGTCCCAGTTTTTAATCATTTACTAAGTATAGTTGCTCCCCGCATACGCAAGCGGACACTGCCTGACAGCATCTCGGCCGAGGAAAGACTAGCGATTACATTGTTGTAAGTACCTATAAACTGTATATTTACCCACATTTATAGTATTTACTGCAGGTTCTTATCTCAAGGTGGCACAATGCAGAATTTGGCTTTGCAGCATCAAATGGGTCATGCCACAGTTCACAAAATTATTATGGAAACATGCACAGCAATTTGGGATGTATTGTCCCCAATATATTTGGCCACTCCATCCACACAGGAGGATTGGAAAGCCATTGCCAGAGAATTTCTTCGTCTGTGGAATTTTCCAAACTGCATTGGTGCTCTTGATGGGAAACACATCCAAATTCAATGTCCAGTGAAAAGTGGCTTTAATCACAAAAAAACATTTAGCATTGTGATGATGGCTGCGTGTGATGCCAATTATATGTTTACATTGGTGGACATTGGAGCGTATGGGTCCCAAAGTGATGGGGGTGTGTTTCGCAAAAGTAACTTTGGAATGAACTTTGAGAATGGGATAATGAATGTGCCACCGCCAGAGAGCATTCCAGGGCTAAACAAGCAAGTCCCATACTATTTGGTTGCTGATGAGGCATTTCCACTAAGGCAATACATAATGCATCCTTACTCGGGGCGGGATTTGACGTTACCGCAACGACTTTTCAATTATCGTTTATCGAGGGCCCGCCGTTGTATTGAAAATGCGTTCGGCATCTTGGTGGCGCGGTGGCGGATATTGCGGAATATTTACAGTTGCAAAGTGGAAAATGTGGATACGATTGTAAAGGCGTGTGTGGTTCTACACAATTTTTGCAAAGCGAGAGGCGTTAGTGGGAATTCGCGATACTCATATTGTCCACCAGGATATGTGGACAGCAACAACGTAGACAACGGCCGTTGGCGGGCTGAGGTCGATGCGCCGCTGCGGTCCGTAGGACGTTTATCGGCCAATAATGCCACTCGGCAAACGGATGAAGTGCGCACGATATTGACCAATTATTTTATGCCGCAGGCTACCCAGCAAACACAACCGTAAAGGTTCTATAATGTATAATAATAATTATAATATAAATGTGCCTTTAATGAACTAAAGGCCCTATAAAGGCTAATTCTAATTGAACTGTACATATATAAATATATATATATATCGCGTTCACCTTTAATAAGCATGTAACGTCAGCCAATAAAGGCACTTATAAGAACCATTCCATTTTTTTATATGGCGCTTTAAAGGTCTGATATGGCAGATTAAAGGGAAAAATGTGGCAAGCTAAAGATTCTGATATGGGCTGTTAAAGATTCTATAGTGGTAATTTAAACAATTTTTTATGGATAAGTGAAGTATCTATTATAGTGGATTAAATGATGGTCAAAAAAGTCTCCATACAGTTAAAAAAAAATTTAAACAAAATGCAATTAAATATATTTTTGCTTTTGGAAATTAAAAATATTTCTTGAAAAGTAACCACAGCATCATTATTAACTAATAAGAACAAAATAACAGTCAAAAATTTTTTATTTTAAAATAAGAATATGAAGGTTTGTCAGCATAATTTCTTGCAAATTCTAATAGTTTTTTTCTGAATTAAGGGGTTTTCTCCTTGCCGTGCGTCCATTGTAACCAGCCTTATTAAGGCAATTCCTAACAGTTTGTGGATTAACAATTTTAGAAAACTCTTCTCTGAGCTCTTTGGTTAGTTGTGGAGCACTTATCTTTAGATTTTTTTTTAATTTTTTTTATTATGCAACCTTCTCTCGCAGAGAGTTTTTTAGGTTCGTGGTCGAATTTTATAGGAATCCGTTCTCCTAAATTGATTAACAATGTACTGGGCAGTGGCATGTGACTTTCCCAGCGTTTTACCGATTTTTCTAAAAGATTGGTCTTCTTTCCACATGCATACTATAATTTTTCTTACACATGTAGGAATTTCCCGGTTTTTATCACACATATTGAATAAATTAATTTTAGGAAGTGACAAAACTAAATTATTTTGCTTGACAGTTTTAAGGAATATACCTGCCTAGATGTGAGAGCGACTACTAGTTCAAAACATATTTTTAGTTCCGGTGTATGGAGACTTTTTTGATGTATTATTTGCTAAAATTTAGTTGTATTAACCGAAATTTTAAAAGAAAACTTTTTTGAGTATTATTTTGATTTACTTCTATTTGGAATATGTGTTTTGTATCGTATAACTCTTAATTTTCAAGAAAAAACGAATATCGAAAAGTATTTACAAAAATCTTAGGTGTATGGAGACTTTTTTGACTAACTCTATATTTATTAGATAAAGTTATTCCACGATAATCAGAAATTTTTATCCCTACCGTCACAATACAATTTCTGACGGTCGGGATAAAAATTTCCGATTACCGTGGAATATCCCACCCAATAAATATAAACGCACCACATTTAATAAACCATAATTAAACTTTACTTATTCTTTACATTAAATGATACTTCTATTATCGTGAAATGTAATACTAAAACATTCATAAATTTACAAGAAAAAAATACAAATGAATGTGTTTTAATAAACACCTGTATAAGAAAAACATAAAAAAAACATTTCACGATAATAGAAGTACTATTTAATGTAAAGAATAAGTAAAGTTTGGGATATTCCACAATAATTATACGAAGTGGCTATTTATACGTCCGACGTATACAAAATTTGGTATACGTCTTGAGCTTTCATTATTGAGTTTGGGTTGGTTTCGCCGAGGGGGTAGTCACTTGCGATTTCTTAGGACAGAAAATCTCCATTTGTGGAGATCTTCTTGAAACTCCGCAGATCTCCATGGATATTCTTGGATCTCCAGGGATATCCTGGGATCTCTAGAGATATCCTTGGATCTCCATGAATATCCTTTGGATTTCCATGGATCTCCATGAATATCATTTGGATTTCCATGGATCTCCGTGTATCTCCTCTAGACCTCCAACCTTCTTTATCTCTGCCTCCATATACAATAACTTTTTAATTTAATATGGAATTAGATCTTGGGATAAAACACGTTTTTGCTGTCAGAAAGTCCATATTTATAAAATGGATAAATCACAAACTGTTTAGCGGTAGTAAGTAGACTATATTACGAGTGGTTTGTAATACTTTACTCGACTTTACCTTATAACACAGTACAACACGATTTCCCTCCCATGAAAAATTTTAGCAGATTTTGAAAATAGAGGTAAAAAAAACGTACCCGTGTCTCACAGTTTTACGAGATCACGTCATAAAAAAATTTTAAGCCGTCATTCCTATTATTTATGCTTATACAGATTGTACATTTTTTACTCGGTTAAAAATATATTTTTTTGTAAATATTGTATGTTTTTACATAATACAAAAAACAAATATAAAAAAAGTTTATATTTTGATTTTTTTTA